ATTTTCACAATTTTACAGTGACTGATAACCTCTGCCTCCCTACGGGCACTTCCTTCAGTTGTGTTGCCACAAATTGCGATAAGTATTGCTAGTTTTAGTTATGTTAGTAGTTTTTAATTCTTATTTCCACTTTCTCACCAATGGCGCACGCGTAGTAGTATCAATAAAAAATTAAGTATAGGTAATTATTACTAATAAATAATATAAAGATAAATTAAAGTTATCATCTCTGTCTGTAAACCTAAATAACGCGCAATCAATTGGAGTCAGTTATATTATAATATCTTTAGAAGTTTTTGGGTAAATCGACATTAAATTTCCACTACCACTCGAAACCATTTTCCTATTTTTTAACAAAACCGATGGACATATAATTTCTCTACTTACATATTTAAAACCCGCAAACGACGCGCAATTTATTGATAAAATTTAAGTTAGCGAATTATTTCTATCAGGTACTATTTCCACACGACTATTCCGAAACTTATTTCCATAGACATATATTAATGGACGTGCCTTAGCCGTATGTCGTGATAATAATTTCTTGGCTCGAAAAGTGAGGGAGATGGCGTATGGTTTCGGACTAGTTCTATCTCTTTCATGACACGCATACGCACTATTGTGAGAGAGATGGATATTGTCCGAAACTTCGTTCCATCTCTTTCTTATGTTGTACCACAATTCTGACCGCTAAGGCATCTCAATTAGTAAACGTCGATGCATGCTACCTACTATCTATGATGTATCTATAGATGGCATCTATGGGTGGTTTCTTCTACGTCTAATACATTTTAATTATGGTAAGAGAGACATATTTTCTTAATTTAATCTATAATTATTATGGTAATCTGCAACGTATATTAATAATTTTTTGTACACAAAATTTATTTCTAAATAGAACTGTGTAGTTTTCCTGTAAAATTTGATTTTGTTAATCTAATTATTAAACTAACCTAAATTTTCGTGTTTGTTTTAGTCCACTCACAAGAAGAAGACTAGAAAATTAAGAGGCCACGTTAGCCATGGCCATGGACGAATTGGTAAGAAATGCTAATATCCTTTCAGTATGTTTTGTACTTAATCTTATTCTGCTTTAGGTAAACACCGTAAGCACCCTGGCGGTCGTGGTAATGCTGGTGGCATGCACCATCACAGGATAAACTTTGACAAGTACCATCCGGGTTACTTTGGAAAGGTATCATAAAATGAATTAGTAACCTACTTAAACAAACTACCATAACAGAAAACTTATATTTCAGTTAGGTATGCGAAACTACCATCTTCGACGAAACAGTAAGTGGTGCCCAACCATTAATTTAGACAAATTGTGGACGTTAGTCACTGAACAGACCAGACTAAAGTATAAAGATAATCCAGAAGGAAAAGCTCCGGTGATAGACATTGTGAGAGCAGTAAGTTCCCAATCTCTTGAGTATTTGTTATTGAGGTTACTGTAAATGAATCTTTAAGGGGTTCTAATGTATTGATTTGATTAGTTTATTAATTATTATTTTAGGGTTACTATAAAGTACTAGGAAAGGGTCGCTTACCTAAACAACCTGTTATTGTTAAAGCCAAGTTCTTTTCAAAATCAGCAGAAGATAAAATAAAGGCTGTTGGTGGAGCTTGTGTTTTATCAGCATAACCTGTTTTGTAAAATTAAATAATACTATTTGTAAATAGAGTTTTGCTTAACCGTTTCATCCTATCCTTGAATTCATTTATTCGTATTTTAAGATATATGCAAATGCAATTTTTGTTTAGAAAGTAAAAAAGTACTTATTAGTGAAATCATATTCAATATAAGTTTTATTCATATTTTAGTTCCTGATAATTGGGCTATAAAAGCTGTATAGTTGAATAGGTAATTTTTGATTTTACCAGAATGCTACATTTATTGCTATAAATAATGAGCTGCTTCTAATAAGCTTAGGGGAGTCCATATAAAGAAAAATATATTATAGTTTGTTAATTCTCCAGGCTTCATTCTGTGTTAAAATTAATTCAAAAAGTCCTGAATTGGTAAGATTATCATTATCTGATAGCTGTATATTGCATTTTTATAACTATATTCTATCAGGAAATTACATGATGTAAAAAAAAGTAATCATAACAGAAAAAGCTTTTTAACACGTAATTTTGTGAACATCAAGCTGAACAATATGAATTTTGAGTAACAAAGTAACTGAATAGACATAGTGGTGTTGTAGTTTCAAAAAGGATATAAATAATAATAAAAAATAAAGCTAATATAGTATGTAAAGTCAGCCTCCTAATTTCATATTTTCAATTGAAATATAACACCAAGTTGGAATCTATGGAAATATAAAATTAAAACCTCAAGAAGAAAAATGATCAAAATTTTATTTTATCAATTGCACTAGGTATATAAAAAGATATGTTTTAACATATAAAACCGTAAAATTGTTAAAATAAAAACACTAAAAATTGAAGTTTAAATCTTGTTAAATAAGTCACTATTTATTTCTTAAATGCAATTGGTTCGCCTCGTTCTTTCTCTAAATGCTGTCTAGTCATGTTAAATGCTTCCGTCTTCATAAAATCTACCTTTTTGTACACAGTGCTAGCACCCGGTGATCTTAACGGTTGATTTTTTGCACTCTTATTATTATCCAACTCGGTGGAAGTATTATGATCTAAATCTAAATACTGTAAAGTACTTAAGTCACCCCTATTTCTTACATCGTAATAAAATGAGTGATACATCTGAAAAAAATATTTAACCAAAATTAACGAGCAGTTTACTTGTATTACGTAACAGTTACACACAACAGTTCATAACTGACTTTTTTGACTACAAAATTATTTAAATATAATTTTATATTGATAATTAGCTGTTTGATATGAACTCCCGCTTGATCACAGATTACAGTACACCCCGTACATTGTTCTTTTTAAAAAACTGAACAATAAAACATTTTAAAATTTAACACATCTTTCTAATGTTCATGCCGATTTGAAAATGTTTCCAAAAGTTTGATATATATTTTTTATCAAAAATTGAAGTAATTAAATACCAGAATTTATCTCTAATACATTGTTTCTGGTGTTTAATATCTACAAAACTACATGGTAAAATTAATTTTATCATTAATATTTTTTAATAAGAAAATTAAAATGTGTGATTTTTTTAAAATGTTATAAATTACGGTAGTTGAATAAAACTTACATCTTCCGAATTTGAAAATACACTGTCGTGTATTTTACTTAAATCAGGTGGGGTAGGACTTGGAGCAGCGCGAATTTTTCGGGTCCTTTCAGTGTCGCCATCAAACGTCTTGCGCAATACAGTGTTCTAAAAGGAATTGAGAAAAAAATAAAAACTACTTAATTAAATTTAATCAAAGTATTACTTATCGAATACGAAAAAATATTTTCTCTTAAAGCGATTA